GAAAAGAGCAATGTAAATAGATGCTAACTCTCAGATCTGAAGTTTTATAATTCTATACATATGGGATCATGACACAATGCCTAATAATGTGCTTGTTGCCTTATAAACATGCTTGAAGCTATTGCTTTCCTAGAACTCATGATACAAGTTGCGTCTGAACTTGTAGGAAGCTGCGCTGCTTTGGGCCACACCAATTTTGAAGCAGTTCTTCAATGCACAATGTTTTCTTACCTGCCCAGATGCAGTTGCTTCTGATCTCCCGCTGCTCCACTGTTGGTGTTGTTGAGGATCAGTGGAGGTATTGCTGAACCTACTTCGGTGAATGAGGAGCTTTCACATAGTTCGTGCCGGAGCAACTCTGAGTGTGGTGGTCGTATGTAGCTCTTAAGTTGGTACTGCGTAAAATGATTCATCTTAAAGAGGGCGTTGGGGGGAGCCTCTTGTACTATATATTCTTGTATACTGAATTACTGAGTTGTGAAATTCCTCTTTAGTGAATTGGGAAGTAGGGGGCTTAGGCGTGTTTCCTGGTTGCTCAGCAGAATTGCAGCTTGTTGAGTGGAAAAGACTTGCTTTACTGACCAGCAGCTGAGTTTGAGATCTGCTAACAACACCGTGACTGTTGGAGATGCTGGAATTGAGTAACCGCCTCTGTTCCTGATGCACATCTCGACAGAGTATAAATAGAGCTCCAGATGGCACCTTACAGATGTCAGGGATTGACAGCCTTTCTTTAAGACTACAGTGTGGTTTGAACATGAGGTTTATAGGCTTTGATATAAGGTGGTAATGGGAGATAGAATCTCCACCTGGAGTAACATATATCTCAGTGGTTAGATGTGGTCTTCTGGTTAAATTTATTTTGAAGGAGCGGGGGATGAAATTATTCTCTGCAACTGGGTCAGGAGGAGCCCTACTGTTTATTGATCACATAGTTTAGGATTTTATTTTTTTGTAAGTTTTACTTTAAGCGTTTTAAGTGCCTTTTAAAGTGTGTTTCCTTTCAACACTCGGTTGTCCAGATAAGGGTATGCATTTGCATTGTTCTAGAAATTAAGCCATTTCTGTTGCTAAAAGCATTAGTAAGGAATGAGTACCCTCATAATGAGGTCACTCTGACTATTCTTCTGGTGGTGGTAGTAGTCTTTTGCAAAATTAAGATATTTCTGGTTAGGTGCATTGGTTGCAGCATTGAAGAAAGCTCCTTGAAGTCTGCTTTTAGAGGTGATCTTGAAACTAACGTGAAGGAAGGTGCTTCTTTAAATTCAACTGCAGTCTCTGTGTTCCTTTGCCTTTGATACTAGGAAATATGTGTTGTAAAACCCTTTGTGAGATGAGGTGTGCAAGTTAGATCAAGAGAACATTTTTTTGAGAAGGGCACCTGAAAAAGCAAGGGGAATGGAGGTAGAAGAAAGCAAACTGCATTGGAAGGAAGGAACATTTGGTGCTAGTTTCATACCTTTGTCTGTGATAAAGCTGCGTAAGTCAAAGTGAAACAGGAAACCCCGCTCTGAAAGGAGAGGAGAGAAAGGTGAAATCACAGGAATTGCAGCATCTTAAAAGCAAACCTTAAGAATTGCTGTATGGAAATTAATGCGCCCCGAAGTTGGCTCTCCACCTCCAGAGGCAATAGTATATTCTCCTTGAGGGGAGGTGTTCTCCAGATGGGATATTCAGTGAATGAGGAGCAGCATTTGAGTCTTTCGAGCACGTGATGGGCTTGTCAGCCTTTGCCTCAGATGAACTGACCTTTTGACAGGGAGGAATTGTGCAGTGATCTCTCCTGTGAGAAGCCTGACCCGTGTAATCAGGGTTGACATTTACGGCTCATGTTGGAGGCACTATCTGTTACCTGCAGCAGAGCCCCAGCTGGTCCCCAGTGGGTGAACCTTTCTTTGTTAGCAGCATACAGATGATGCTCATGCAGAGCTATGTGAAAGTCTAGTGATTAACATTGTGGGATTGCAGACTTCTGAGTGAACGGTGAGAGTCTCGCCTTGTTTAGGTAGTTAAGCTGAGCTGCTTTCAGAGTGGTGGGATACTTTCCAACCTGGAGGTATCCATGAACGGGGGAAGAGCTTGCGCCTCTTGGTCCTCTGTGACCTGAGAGATGAAACATTGATAAGTACAGCACTTACTGGACAGACGTGAAGCAGTACTTCCCCAGGCACTGAAAGCGAAGTACCTTATACTGCAGCTGTGTTGCTGTTGTAGAAGATGGAATTTTAAACATTGGGCTTAAAGGAAAGCCATGACTTTGGCATAGCTCAGTTTAAATTCCAGGGGGTTAAAGAAAAATGTATTGATTACTTGTTTGCTTAAGTCTAGTTTGTAATCCAGTTTACAAAGGAGTTATGGGCAGTGAGATGTCAAAAACATGTGCACAGACTTAAATACCAGAATATTGTAGAGGGAACTTAACTTTAAAGGGAAGTTGATAATGTCCCTGTAAACCAGAACAGCATAATAAATGTTGATTTCTGGCTTTGTCCTACCCTGAGTGCCGTATTTCAGTGTTTGAGTTTGTGAAGTTGGAAATAATAGTGAAACAGTGGAACAGTCGGAATCAGCTAATGGAGCGTGGATTCTGCTCTGATGGAGTTTATATCATAGCATGGATCATAATGCTGCAGGTCACACAGTTCAAACGAATAACCTGGGTGGATTAATCTTTTTGTTACAGTTTATCTGATTACCTAGTTAGCAGCTCTGTCTTGAGTAGTTGTCAAATTTTGTAATTCTTCAACCTCTTTTAAGATGAATTAAAATAATTTCAGCAGTGTAACGCTAAGAAGTTTGACACTTGTAACACTATGTAACAGTGTAATGCTAAAAAAACCTGAAATTCTCTTAATGACCTGCTGAGGTAATACAAACAGAAGAAGAATTAAAATGTGTTTATTCTATTGAAGCTTGATAGTGCCTGACTTTCACTCCAAGCTTATGTTAAAAACTTGTTTTACTGCTGAATCATAATACTCTTGAATATTGGGAACAAACTTAAAGGCTGATTTGTGATATGTAACTGACCTTGCTTGTGATTGTCTGTTGTAACGTGACTTTTGGAAGAAAAGAGACTTAGGCAACTGTGAGCAGTTTTCATGCATCTCTTCCTTTAACTAGTCTAGGACCTGCCTGGGCTCAGACAGATGCTGTCCAGAGATGCAAGACTAGGGAGAGCTCTCAGAATTCAGTTTGTTCCAGTGTTGTGGTAACAGGCTGCTGGAGGCGCTCAGCATAGCTCCTGCAGAAGGGAGGGCTGCCGCCTGCCTTTTTTGGGCTCCGGTGAATCTGCCGGAGAGCTTGATGTTAAAGGCGCATGTTCTCTGAAACCTTCCTTCATGTGATTCCTCTGTTCCTGGAAGTACCCACTGGATTTTGTGGCAGCCGAGGAAATGGGTGAATTCTTCTTTTTTTTTTTTTTTTTTTTTTTTCTTTTCTTTAAATAGTAACCTATTATTGAGACCATACAAATTTGTTGTTCTCTTCCTCCAGGATTGTTTGTTGAAATGTTGAGTGGAAGAAACAGCACTTTTTTTTTTTGTGGGGTTTTTTTGTGTTGTGTGGTGTTTTTTGTTTTTTTTTTTTTTTACTACTTAGTTGTTGCAAAGGGCTTAACACAGATTGTAGTGTTGTGATCCTACTTTGTGGCAGAAGTGTTTCAGTAGTTTCTCATTATTCATGTTAATGCACATTATTTTCATCTAAAGCAAGTATTCATAAAATTATTTTGTTCAAGTACAATTACTGACTGCTGATCGCTGAGCTGGAAGAGGACGCTTCAGTTACTAGTATTCCAGTGGTGGTACTTAAACACACTGTTTTTTTTCCCTTTTATTGCAGCTTTGCTTCTGACGAGATGATGTATGTGCATCTTGCATGGGAGGAAAGAGGAAGTTAACAGGAGGGAGGAAGATAGTAGCTCAAATAATGGCCTAACAAAGTGCCATCTGTTCCATGCCCATGAAATGAATGTAATAGTTGTGTAATTTTTTCTTTTATCAGAAGTTTTTTTCAAATTTGGGTTGAAGTGTTTTTGATTTACTGGTAGTAGCACGAGTTGTATAAAATTATTTAAAAGTTTAAATGGTTTTCAGGTTTCAGCAAAGCTATTTTTAGTAATGGATTATCACCCTTTATAGTGCCTGATCATCTTCTCAGAAAGCTTGGTAGGTCATTAGCATGTTAGAAATAATGTTTGCTGTTCGGGGTTTGTGCGCTTGCCTGACTGCCCTGAGCCCTACTGCCCGTCACTCTCTTCCTTGCCAAGGGCCCCTTCTCCTTTGGCACTGCTGCTTAGCTGACAGGGTAGCCTAAAAAACCACCTTTGCTGATCTGGCTCATTTTGCTTGTTGTAGTTTCCATTGTAGTTTAAACACCAGATCTGGGAGAGGAAGCCCCTGGCAAGAGTGCCAGTGACCAGCAGCTGGGAATGTCAACATCTTCAGTTTATTAAAAAAAAAAAAAATTCTAATGTTTTGAAAGTAGGTGAATGGCGTAACAAATGTGGTTATCTTGTTTCAGGTGAGGAGGGTGATGCTGATTCCTGAAGGAATCTTGGATACAGCTGCAGGATCAAGCTGTTCATTCAGCAGCAGTATCCTGTGTGCCTTTTTGTACTGGATTTTCTTAGATTAATCGGATTTTTTTACAACTTGGTCTGTTGCTCTTAGCATCATCATTTCAACATTCTGCATCAGTTCTGAAAAATACTTCCAGTTAATGGAAATACAAGTAGTTCTTTGCAGTGAACTAACTTTGCTTCCTTTTAAATACTGAAGAATATCATTAATGCTTATTTTAAACCAAACTTGCAGGCGAAAGTATTCAAGTATGTGGCAGTTTTGAGCAGACTTGTAACTGGATAGAATTGTTAATTGGAAAAAAACCAAAACTACCACATAATTATTCTTTCTGCTCTGGGTTAGATTCAACGATGACCATAAAATCCTGATGTTTTAATAATACCTGTAATTGTGTTCTGTATCTTTTCTTTGTAGATTTTCTCTGGCTTTGAACAGCCATGCTACTCTGTTGCCAAAAATCAAGTAAAGCGAATGTGCGCATTTATTTTCCTGTTGAATTTGAAGAAGGTGATAGCTTCATATAGTCTCTGAAGGTAATTCTTTCTTTGCTTGAAGTTAAAAAGTTTGAGACTACTGATGTATTTGTGACAGATGCTATAATAAATATTTTTTGCTATTGTTTATATTTTTTCTGTCTGTGTTTTAAATAGTTAGCTTTAGTGTTAAGGTATGGAGGGGGTAATGTTTTATTACAATTTCACTTTATGTACATGAGATGTCTGGACAGATTCTCTCTTAAATATCACTTCAGCTTGGAAAGTGGTGTTCATATGAAAACTAGATACTATACAAGCCTTTTAACTCTGCTTAGATGGCAAAGAGCTTTTTTTGGTGGGTGCTCCATGGTGCTTGCTTTAAGCGTTGTGTTTACCATTTATTTCTAATTCTGCCTGGGCCACAGTGACAGATCTACTCTCTGTGAAAAGAAGTCTCTCTGTACACACAGCACTTATTAATTCTGAAACCTAGGCCAAAGAATTTAGTAAGAAGTTATTGCTAGCTTGTTCTTGGTGTTCAGCAGTTTTTGTCTATCTGATAACTTTGTCTATAGAGTGTATTCCTCTTTTTCCAATGTCAATTGGAGCTGGTACCACTGAGTACAGTAGAGTTCAAGTGTAAGCACAGCAAAACTGTTTGCATCAAATTTTTCATCTGGGGCTTTTCTTATTTGATACGGTTCTGTTTTTGAAGCCTTGGTGTGGAAATGCATGTTTTGACAGTTTATGTACTAAAATGAATGCTTGAAAAGTGTGCGGAAAGCCACATACCTTTCTTGAAAGAAAGCTCTTGTGGCTTTCTAGAATTATTCTGGTAAAACTCCTCCTCCCTCCCTATTTTAGTGGGGTTTTTTTGTTATTTTTCTTTGCAGTTTCTGTATTTTTTCTCTATGTAGGCACAGAGATAAATGGAAATTCAGACTCATTTTAGAATAATTTAATGAGCTCTGCAGACCTTGCATGTGTGTCCTGTTCATATCTCAGAGAAAGAGGGATTTCTTACATTTCCTATGGTAATTTAACTCAAAAAGTAATTTTTAATAATGTTATAAGAATATTGGTGAGAAGCTAAAACTTTTACAGCTTAACTTTCCATAACTCCTTCCACATCAAAAACATTTCAGGTCATTAGTGACTAGTGCTAGTTGTACTTCTGCAGCAGCTTTGTTATTCGTAAACTTCTGAGCTCCTATGGAAGAGAAGAGAAAAAGGCTCAAAAGTACAGTTCAGTGATAAAATCTCAGATGAAGTCTCAACGTACGAAGCAGTTCAGTGTTTTACATCTGTTGTGTACACTGGAAAAATATGTGCTTATAGTCACCCATCCAGATGCTTCTAGGACAGTGCGTTGGACCGCACTTTCTTGATTGTGCTGTATTTGCCATTAGTGACAAATTTAGCTAGTGCTGAAAATGGAGGACAATAGTTTTTAAAACTATTATTTAATTATGGGGAGATACAAAAATAAAATCTACATAATCTTGCCTTTTTTTCTTTTTATTTTGCTAATGCTTCCATATGGCTGAGTGAAAAAACTATGGGCAGGGATAGTAGTGAGAGCTAGGCTTTGTAGCTCTAAGTTGAGGAATTAATACCTGCAGCATAGATCATGCTGCTGTTTGTAAAGTCTAGAAAAAATGTCTGGAAATAACAGTATCTGGGGCTTTAAAAATGCATTTCTTAATTGAGAAAAAGCCAGGTAATGGTCTGAGATGGTGGCCTCAGCAACTGAAAGTCATTTTTTTTTTTTGAATTCTCCTCAGAGTGTATTTTCATGTGTTCTCCTAACCACCTCCATATGCAGAGGCTTACCTTGCCCATGTTTCTTGTCAGAGGAGCTTCTCTATGTCTAGGAATATGAGAACTGATGTATTCACCTGCTATATACCTAAAAGTATTTTTTCAAAGGCATTTATGTGTCTTTTTCATAACTTGTATGTGAAACTAAAACTTGATTTTTTTTTTTTTTTTGTTTACAGTTTCTAAATGGTTTTAGCAGTGGAAGTTACAAACTTCAGAGACCTAAAGAAATCATCATGAAGCTATATGTATTTCTGGTCAACACTGGAACTACCCTTACCTTTGACACAGAACTTGCTGTACAAAAGTAAGAAATGAATTGCATATTGTTTGGTTTGTTTTAAATTAGAAAAAAGAGTATATTTTTGTATACAGAGTTCTGCAGAATTGATACTCAGTGGTTTTTTGGTATGTCCATTTAGTTATCTTCTAGGTTTTCATATATTTGAGTGAATTTTGGGGTGGGTGTGGGTTGTTGGTTGGTTTTGTTTTTGTGGTGTGGTGGTTGTTTTTTTCTTTTTCTAGATTAGCTTTTTCAGTGCCTTGCAGGTAGTTGTGTGTGTTTGAGGCCCAATGAAAGAGTGGAGAGGTTATTTACTTTCTGGGGCAGTGGCAGAAGATGACCTGCTTTTATAGCTGAGTCTGGTGGTATGTTTGGTGATTTTTGGAAAAACTGTCGTAATGACTTCTGATCTTTTATGACCTTTTATTGGATAGCATTTTTATTTATGACTCCTCTGTAAAAGCTTTATTTTTTTACTGACTGGAGTCATAGAAGAAATTCTGCAGATTGGTCTTTCTTCTGTCAGTATATACTTACCCTGAAAAAAATGTGCACTCTGTAATATTTTTAGTTCAGATGCTAAAAAAACTGGCATATAGGTTTTTGTCTCATGTCCAGGATGGGTAAAAGTTGGTTCTGTCCTATGTTATAAGGCTCCACATTCCATTTCCCTTTTCCTGATATAGGACTCTGATTTAGTAAGTAAATTGGGCATAAATACCATGATAGCCCATATACCTCGGAGCTAGCAAGAGCCAAACTTACCGGCTGCCTTCATATTCTGTTAGTGATGAATGAATTGTAAGGAATTGAGACATTCTGTTCCTAAACCACGGTGAGGTATAACATCTGCACATACAACATAGTATGACATTTACAGTTATTATCCTAAATGCTTGATGTGATTTAATCCAGAATTTCAGCATGTTATCAGATCTTCTTGGAAGAAGACTGCTGATGAGTTACCGGTAATGCAGAGACTGTCTTCTTTTAGCTGATAGCTTATTAGCTGGATATCCAGAGTGCCAAACATGACAGCACTTAAGAAACTTAGAAATATGTCACTGTGCAGAATAAAAAGTAATAGTTCTTTAAAAAAAGTTCTGCTTTGACACAGACAAGTCACCTGCCTCTATTACAGGAGTATGTAAAATTAGAGACACAATTATGCTGGTAGTGCCATCTTCTCTTCCTTTTTTTTTTTCTTTTTTTTTTCTCTCCAGTGTGGCTGATCTGAAACATGCAATTCAAACAAAGTATAAGATTGCCATTCAGCACCAAGTCCTGGTTGTCAATGGAGGAGAGTGTATGGCACCAGACAGAAGAGTGTGTAGTTACAGTGCTGGAACAGTAAGTGCATACTGCATTCTTATAAACTGTCATTTATAGGGGAGGAAAAAGATGTTTCGTTAAAGGATTTTTAAGTATTTTTCAGTAGTGTACTGTTTGCTGGATTTTTTTGCTTTGAGCAACAGTATTCAGCTTATGCATTTAGATTTTAACACATTCTTAAGACATGTTACCCCCATGATGAAATAATTGGGGATTGACCAGTATTTCTTGTGGTTATTCAGTGTTTGGTTTTATTTTCTTTTTGATTATAGGACACAAATCCAATTTTTTTATTCAACAAAGAAATGATCTTGTGTGAACGTCCACCAGCTATCCCCAAAACCACGTTTTCAGCGGAGAATGAGATGGAATTGAAAGTAGAAGAATCTCTCATGATGCCTGCAGTGTTTCATACAGTAGCATCACGGACACAGCTTGCTGTGGTAAGTAAATTCTTACTGTATTCTTGCACACCGATGGAAAATAACCTTTTTATATGTCAGAGGGGAAGCTTGATATAAATTATGGAATGGTTTGTTCAAAAGACAGTAAGAATGGTGTCTTAGTGATGATGTATTCTTCAGAGCCTTTGTCTCAAAGTTTCAAGGTAGGTATTGAAATGTGCGTACTTCTTCAGCATGTTCAAAGCTGCTTTCAAAAACGTTTTGTAACAAGGCTTTACGGATGTGTGTGTTTGTGGCTTTTGCAAAATAAAAGCAGTCTGGTTGCTTTGGACCCATGCCTTAATGTTCTGCCTTATTTTCAGTGTCTTCAGTCTGCTTCAACCTTAAAACAGAAAACTTTATTATTTTGGAAATGTTGTTAACCCAAGTAGAAAATTATCAGTAAATTTTTTAATAGCACTTTGCCAAGCTTCTGTTTCATATTATATGTCTAAACAACTGATAAGGAATTAATTAAACTAAGTTTCCTTTGCCTAAAATTCACATCCATTGCTGTCAAGTGCTGGCTTTTAGTTGCATAGAAAGCAAACTTGTCAGAATTTCAATTTGATAATTCTGTATTATTTTGATGGGGGAACTAGTTCCCTGCAACGTGGCCAGTAAGATATCAAGTGTGCCTGCATTAGGAAGGGCTATGTGTTCAAGAGAGTGACACAATGCCTTCAGTAGCTGGACTGATCGCTTTTCTTCATGTCAGGAAATACTGCCCTCATTTTCCTTTTCAAATTTTACATTCTAAATACATTAAATATTTTTTTATAGCTCTAAAGATTATTTAAACTTCCAACGGCTGGGAGCAGGGGAATGCTTATGTGTAACACAAATGAATTGTAATACATGTTTTTAGCATGTTGTCTTGGTAATAAAGTTTGTTAGCTTCGGTAACAACTTTAATGCAGTCCAAAAGGATATGTAGTGCTTGAAGTGGCTAACACTGTACAGCTGAATTCAGAGAAAAGTGCCAAGTCTTGCATATAGTACAGGGTTTTTTTGGTTTTCCTCCTTGGCCTCCTGGTTTGTCAGGAAGGGAAAGTTAGCCTGAATAATCTGACCTTGACGTACTGTCTGATGTAAGGCAAGGACTGAGTAGTAGACTCTCTTCCTCTCTCCAGCACCTGTTGACAGTTACTGCTGACTTAGTAAATAGGACCTTGAGTTATTAGAAATCTGACATACAGACAAGAGTGGATATCAGTGTGAATCCAGCTAGGAGTGGGAGGTTTTCATTTGTGCTCCTTGAAGAGTGTGAAGATGCTGGTTTTAGCAGCTGAAACTGAAAGTGCTTTAAAACTGTTTTTTGGTGAGGTGTTAAGAGGATCTTATAAAAGTCAGCAAGACTGGTATCTGTTAAATGCTTAACATATTGATTTGATATGAAAGGGGGGCTGTACTAATTACATAGGCTTTGTGTTTGTGCTTTACTTAGGGTAATCGAAGTGAAAGGCAGTGGTACCCAGTCTCACATTTCTCGTTGTTGCTGTTTATTTTCTTTCTTCATCCCATCCCTGTTTTTGTGGTCTTGAAGCTACTTGATTTGGGTTTTGGTCTGGTGAAGTTAGTGTACACTGATAGAACAAATTTAATTCCTCTGGAGTAAGCTTTTTATATTCCAGGAGTTTTATAAAAAATACTCCTACTTAGACTTGAAAAGAATTGTTAGTGCTACCTTCTCTTCCCCTTGATTCTGAAGGGTGTATTAATGTGCAGAGCAAGCAAGTTTATTGCAGTGTTTCTGCTTTTAAATTAATTGTTTGTTTCTTTACTGGCTCATTCTGGTGGCAAGTCTTTTGTAAGGGAAGCCCATATTTCAGAAATACTCTTAAAAAGTCTCTGTGTGGAGTACAGCTTTTATTGGCCAACACACATATTTATCTAGAGACTGAAACGTTTATCTAGAGTGGTCCTGAGCTGATTTGCAAGAAGAAAATAAATCTTCCCATACGTGATGTCATCTATTAATATTATTACAGGATGGGGGAAGGAATTTAGTATTTCAAGATCTTTAGACATAGATCTACCTAGAATGGATGTTTTATTTTTAGCCTGCAGATCTGTCTTGAAAAAGATTTTCTGTTCTCCACTTCCAGTTGTTCCCTGCTGGTAAAAGGGCTACAATGATAGTAGATTCTTTTGTGAAAAACTTAGAAGTTTATGTAAAGACTGAAGAGGTACTAATATTTTGTAATCTGATATACTTTCATGCCCACAGTTAATTTTATCCAAGTTTTTCAGTCTTTCAAAACCATAGGCTCTGTGTTAGGCTGTGAAAATGCATTGGGTGGTCAGGAGAATGACAAAACCGTAGTTTATGGTGGAAGATTGGTAAATAGGCTATCGTGGCTTTAGATGTACCAAGATGTGAAACCTGTGTAGAGGAGTATTGCAGCAGTAATTCAGAAGAAACTGAAGGAGGACTGGGAACGTGGTTAGAACATTGATCTTCTTCAAGGTTCACCTTGAGCTTCTTGACTGGGGGGAAGAGAAAACATGGGATATTAATCCTTCTCAAAATTGATTAGATATGGGGAGAGCTAGAAAGGCTCTGAAGCTCTGTAGTTGTGAGGCTGATGCATCCAAAGCCACACTGAAAGTACTGTACGGGAGACTTCTTGCAAAATAGACTTGACAAATCTGCCTCATAATGATCCAAGCTTTGTCTTTTTATTAATTTTAGAGAGACAGTAACTTACCTTACTGGAAAAGCAGAGTGGCGGTACTTGATGGAGTGGTTTTGCCTGTTGTAATAATTTAGGGTAATTTAATTAATTAAATTTAATTAATATTTGCTACTAATACATGATAAAATGTTTTGTATTAGAAACATCAAAATTACAATCTAAATTCATTGTTCATTATAGAAAGCCTTACTTATTCTTGTCACCAATAAGAAACAGTGATGTGTAACTATGTAAAAGCAAGGGACAATCTTTGCTACCAATTTCTATTTAATTTGGTATCAGTGCTGCCCAGAGGATATACAGTATGATTTTAAAATCAGACTTGATATGAAATTGTAAACAGTATATGAAATAGTAAAAATTGCTTAGAAGATGGTTGTTAACTTACTGTGAAATCTCTTGGTGATCTCTGGTACCTCATGCCCTACGTCCACTTTAGTAATAGGCAAACTTGTTGTCTGGAGGATTATGACTATTTTGGGGTGTGAAGACTTTTTCTGTCTGAATTCTCCCTCATTTTAAACCTGCCTGAAAACTGTTGAATGGAATCAAGTTTTTTGGCATCTGTGACTTGGTCACTGTGCTGTAGAACTGCACGAAAGGTGTTCTTTTTAACCTTACCTTATTTTGAACCTTATTTGTACTGTAGAAAAAGGTATATAGATATTTCTGATTCACTTTTTTCTGGTCCATGCTTTTTATACACTGGTATATGGCCTTTAACTTTTTTCCATTATAACAAATGATTCTAGATTCTCCTTTAACAAATGTTTTTATTAATCCATGCATTTATTTCCACTCCATCATTTATTGCCTGTCTAAAGCTGACCATTATTGATTTAAATTCCACTTTTGGTTTCTGTGTTTTCTTTGCCATAATTTTCTGGTATCCTTAGTTACTATACAGCTACAAACAAAAGTCATCTTTTTGTTCAGTGGAGGCCCTGGCATTCTTAGAGCCTATTGTGTAGGGATATGCAAAAGCAGCTTTTTTTTTTTTTCCCCACTTGAAACCAATTTCATTAACTTATATGTAACCATTTTTTAATTTTAGTACATCCTAACTGAAAATCATTCCTGTGAAAAACTTATTACTGCCTGTTTGGCTTTCCACTCCACTGTGATTATTGTGTCAAAATACCATATTTTTTTTTTCTTTTTGCTTTCATGATTTTAACGTCTATGCAGATTTCCTGTTGATTACAGAAGATGTCATTATGTAGCATTTGTAGTATAAAGAATCAGTAGCTTGAAAGAAGCTATATCTGTTACCTTGTTGCTTTACCAATTAAACTGAAATTCTTGCCATAGGTTTTGTCACATATGATGCAATGTCTTTGTCTTGCAAACTTTTTTTATCAGGTAGTTCTTGGTCAGTGTTCGTTGCATCTACTGTCTGGCTTTTAAATCTCAGTTCAAGCAACTTTCTAAGCTTATTTTCATTTTCTGTCCCAATATCCTGGTTTCCTTTTGACTAAAAGCTTACCTTTGAGATGTCTGTGCCTAAAGGGTTACAGTTTGCCTTTTTACCGCTAGCCTAGTTTCCCACTTCTAGTTCAGCAGTTTTGGCCTTGAGCTGCTCTATGTGGACAGCGAGGTGCACAGAGTGCTTGCGAAAAGTTATGTATGCACCAGTGTAGGAACAGACAAACTGTTCTCTACACAGGGCGTTGTGCAATAAACTACATTGTGTGAATCTTGTCTGATCTTGTGGTCTTTTAACACTAGTGCTTAAAGTAATTTCTCATAGCTTAGCCTTTAGGAAAGCATTGTTTTTTTTTAGCCATCTAGTTGAAGCTCCCACTTTATTTGTCCCAGAAGGATATTGGAAACCTGGACTTTTTGTTAGTGGGCCTGTTTCACATTTCTTGTGATACTGGTGCTGTAATCATCAAACTGTCAATTCCGCTTGGTTTTTCTTTGAGAAGTGGTGATGAGGATGAGAAACTGTGTGGTCATTTCATTTGGTTGCTTGAAACCATGGTTGTTGTCATAGCACCTACATAATTCTTGGTTTAGTTCCAAACGCTTCGTAATACTTAAGCCAAGAAGCACAATCATGTTTCCTGAAAGCTGCATGTTTACCATTTAGAGAAATGCTCTTTCATTTCTACTAGAAAGCTGTTTTGAGACCCTTTGGAAAAGAGTTAATTAAAATCTTAATGTTCTTTAAGGAATTGTAATGTTTTCTAACGATTGTGTAGCTAAATTAGTGCTACTCATTCTTTTTGGCTAAATTACTCGTCTAATATCCAGACACACTCCTAGCTCCTCCACAGAAGTCCGGACTTCTTTGTGACT